ACTCTGGAGACTTCCTGAGTCAGAAGCTTGCTTGTTAAGGATGAGTTCTTATGAAGACGAATCCCACAAATCAGATGTTGAGTTGCATCAGGTACTCTATCTACCATCCTTGGGTCTAAACCCCAATGGCCTACCTCTCCAAGGCAACGTGGGTATGGGCATTAATAGCATTCCTGTCTGAGATACTCTTTATTGATATCTTTCTGTCTCCAGCCTAGAACCTGTTTTGTTTCATTTTTATTTACTTTTTTGGTATAATGCTGGGGTTAAATACAGGACCTTGAACACATAACACGTAGTCTTCTACTGGGCTGCACTCTCAACCCTCTACCTCAGTTCCTAACATAGCCTGATTATTGTGGCAGTTGCCCACATTGGCTGAAACATCAGGTTCTCAAAATGTCAAACTCTAATGACTTTACCAATTCCATGTTTACTGAGTAAACAGCTCTGCTTTCCAAACTTCAAAGTTTAGTCCCCAGGCATTTTTGGCTGCCTTACCTACAAGGTACAGTTAACAGGTATACTGGGCACAGAATTTAGTGCTGGGAAGGGGTGCAGGGACTCAGACTTTGCCCCCAAATTTCTTTGTTGATGTAGCTGCAGGTCTATCATATGACTTCATGGCCTTTAGAAAACTGGTGTCTTTACGCTAATGACTGCATTTGCCCCAGCAGCAGGGAAATTAAGGACCATGTTTGCAGCTTTTTCTGGCAAGAGGGCAAGATCATATGGTATACGTTAACTGTGCCGATCAGAGAATGTCTGGCTTTTGCCTTTTCTGTGGTTTTGTTTCTCTTGTTACAATCTGTGCAATTGTTTTATACTTTAGCAAACTGTTCACACAAGCTTTGTTGCATAAAGGGAACTCTGAGCTCAACAATGTCAGCATGCCTGCTGTCAATAAATTTCTATATATTAAAGGAAAATAGCTGTAAATTTCTTGGAACATTTGAGAAATAAAATATGTTTTTTTGTGTGTGAAGTTCATTGAACTCAGCAAAACTTTTTATAGTCCTATAGTCTAACTACTAGCTTTGTTGAGTATGAGGGAGACATGGTAAAGGCGAACTGGTGAAATGGGAGTGAAGATGACCTCACACACATGGAGAGGGCTTTGTGTGCATGGGAAGGAACTTCATGCATATGCAAGAGACTTCCTACATCTGGGAGAATCTGTGTCCACCTTCCAGTTACGATGGGAGCATCGGGAGAGCTGGAAGAGTGTGGGAGAGTCCCTAACTAAACAGGCAGTCTCCAGGGAGCACTTTACAGCTCTGCGCGTCCAACCATTGAGAATGGGGGACTCTTTGTTTATGGGGTTTAGAAATAAGTTCCTCCTCTGTGATCAGAAACACAGTGATCTCTAGACTAAGCATTTCATTGTAAAAAAGGGAATGGCTAAGGCTCAAAGACAGACTGACTTGCCCAATAGTGTTGTTCTTTAATACCTAAGGTAGGGCAGAGTCCTGGCTGGGCCTTTTCCAGACCTTTCCCTCAGTTCCATACATGACACTTCACTCTCTGCTTAATCTTACACTCTGAATGTGCTGTCGTCCTCTCCCTTCTTCAAAACTAGCTCTCCAAGAAAATACCCAACAGCTATAAATTGTGAAACTCACCAGATGTGGTCTAGTATCGCAACAGACCTGTCAGTGTGTTTTATTTGGGGAATGGTTTCTATTGCAGGAAAAAGAAGCAGAGCAAAAGGTGGCTGCATGTATGACAACATAAAAGTCTAGTACCTCTCTTTCTCTTCTAAAGATGTATTTATGTGTACGAGTGCTCTATCTGAACATATGATTTTACACCAGAAAAGGGAATCAAGTTCCACTAGAGATGGTTGTGAGTCATCTTGTGGTTGCTTGGAATTGAACTTAGGACTTCTGGAAGAGCAGCCAGTGCTCTTAACTGCTGAGCCACCTCTCTAACTCCCTAGAGGCCTATTCTGTATCAAGTGACCACACTAGGGAACACACTCATACACTGAATATACCCAGTGGTTCTGCAGGATGTGTCTCACACACACAAGGGAGGGCAGAGCATCAGCACAGAGGACCTAGAGTCAATGCTGGCACTTATAGTCAGTGGCTGGCTGACCACCTCTGGGCTTAAGTTGGTCTTTCATTTCAGCCTTTAGCTCTTCACAAAAATCTCTACACCATTGGGCCAGACCACATGCAACTGTGGGAAAATTTCTCTTATGTTTGTCTCTTCCATATTATGAACCAAGGGTATAGACATTAGCTACTATTATATTCTAAGGCCCCAGAGCCAGGTGTGCAGTCAAAAAATGCATATTGTATCAGGAGCAGCTACTGTGGAGTACATGTCTTCCTTGGTCAAATTAAAATAAAAACACAACACCTCCACAGCTAAAAGCTTTTTACGGGGGAGTCTTCAGAATGATGAGGCAGCCATCCTCCCTCAGAAAAGGCTCAAAGCCGTGAAAAACCTGTCAGATAATAGGGGAATTATTGGGGTGACAGGACAGGCAGTGATATGGTTATTTTAAGAAAATTCACTTGACTGAGTGTGTTCATATACCAGAGCTGTGATTACAAAATACCATGAACTCTGTGAATCAGACAATAGAAATCCAAAGTTCCACAATCCGGGAGGCTGGGTGTTGTTACAGAGGTGTGGGCAGAGTTGTCACTTTCTGAGGCTGTGACAAAGGTCTGCCCACACCTCTCTCCTGGCTTCTGGTGGCCTTCTGGGCATCTTTGGTACCACTGTCATCATCCTCACATAGCATTTGTTGGTTCTATGTTCACATTCTCCTTTCGGTAATGACACTGCTCAGATTGGGTTAGGTCCCTCCATGATGACTCCATTTTAACTAGGTTATCTGGATTCCATCTCCAAATAAGGTCGTATTTTGAGGTACTGGGGGATTAGGATTTCTACAAATGAGTTTTGAATGAACATAATTCATCCCATAACACTGGGGAGTAAAAGTCAGGAAACGAGTAAGTGGATTACCCTGTCTGCAGACATAAGGCTGAGCGCATCCTCCACTTAGTTCTGGTGAACTGGGAAACCATGGTCATATTTTAATTCCACCTTAAGTACATTGTAACCTTGTGATCTCTGACTTTTCGAGGGGTCCGTTTTTTCCAGAATAAAATGAGAATCTTAAAAGCTTCATTGGAAGGTCATTTAGTGCACTCCCAGGGTGGCATGTGTTAAGTGAGGTGCTTGGCACATTGCCAGTATCTGAGGAATGGTCATTCTCCTTCTTGTAGCAATGTTAGGTAAAGTCTGAGGCCAGGAAAGGGTGGCTGGTGGTAGGTGGTGGGTGGTGATGGGTGCTAGGCTGGGTAAAGCAGTTATATCAATTTGTCTAGTGCAATTGTTCTTGTGAAGAGCTATTTGAGTTTGAAGCTTGGAAATGGAAAGCAAGCAGTCAAAAAGCTTTTTAAATAGACAGGAGACGAGCTCTCTGGTAATCCATCACCTCAAATCGCCTACCCCAGATCACGTCCTGCTATTTTTTTCTGATGATTTCACCAATAATGACTTCTTTTAACTTCCGATGTAGCTTTTTAAAAGAAGATGATTTATAAATAAAAATATCCTCTACTTCTGACCTTGAAAGCCTCAAGAGATTTGATTTATTATTTTAATGTGTTGCCCTGTTGCAATACATGTTTGGAATGTATAATGAGAAAAGGCTCAACATCTCTGGCATAGGGAGGTAGAAGGCGATGGCAGTATCAAGACTCACTCTCCTTGCTTTTCAGCTAAAGACTAGAAAAACACTCACTCAGGGGACAGAGCCTCAAGCAGATCCTGGCTGTCCCACTCTACTCCATCTTATGCTCAAGTTATTTCTGGGTGTCTGTCTTCATTTGTTAAGACTGAACCAAGAGTCTGCTTTGCCATCTCCTAACAAAACACACCTTGCCCCACTAATAAACTGCCTCCCTTTCTCTTCTCTACAAGATTCCCATTCCAGAATCTGAGACTGACGACAATTAGCAACACAGGAAGTAGGGCCCCGATCTAGTTGAAAGTTGACACACAGAGCTGGGAGGGCTTGTGGATTAGTGCTTTGTCAACTTGGTACAAACCGAGTCATAAGGGAAGAGGATACCTCAATTGAGGAATTACTTCTATCATCTTGACCTGAAGGAAGTCTCTGGGGGCATTTTCTTGATTAATGATCAATGTGGGAAGGCTTGTGGAAGTGTCCACCCTGTCATAGTCACAGGTTGTATAAGAAGACGAACTGAGCAAGTGGGGATGAACAGGCTAGTGACTGACATGTTTCTGTGGTCATGGCTTCAGTTCCTGCCTTCAGGTTTCTGCCTTGAGGTCCTGCCCTGACTTCTTTTCATAGCTGACTACGATCTATAAGATGAAATAAAATCCTTTCCTCACTAACATGCCTTACAGTCTTGGGTCTCATCACAGCAATAGATTAGGACAAACTCTGATGGACTGATCTTTATTTCCATCTAGAATGAGCAGGAGTGATAGTTGAGGGGAGCAGCTCATCCTGTCAGCAGGAACTGCTCTATGCAATGCAATTCTAACTAACTGAGTTAGTTAGGGCAGGTTAAGCTAAACTAAGCCTGTTTAAGTAACTACTAAGCTTTTTAGCTTCATTAATAGGGAAAATAAAGCTGTCTAAATGGAGGTTGCTATGGTAGATGAAAAAGTTCAGCAGAGTGTTGGTTGAGGTCTGGTACTCGGGGAAGGCTAGAACAGTCAGCTTAGTAGCATCTTAATAGAAGTGTTTCCCATGAGAAAGCAGAAGCAGACCATAGATACTAGCCTGTTTAAGATCTGCTGGGTGGTGGCTTCCTTTCCCACAATGTAAGCGATACTCAAATATCCAAACAATTTGGGAGTTTCAAATAGTCCTAGGCATATGGGAGGCTGGAGTAGACAAATCCGGTATTTGAGGCCAGCATCAAGTATGTAATGAGACCCTGGCTCAGAAACACAACCTAACAAAAGAAACCCAAGAATAATACAAGCAACAAACCCACCTTAGAGGCCCACATATGGTCTTTGGAAGCCTATGGATCCCAATCATGAATGAGAGACTATCCCTTTAAGATTGTGTGTCACCAGTGATTCAGTGGAATTTTCCACTTACCTAACAACCATGGAACTGTGTAGATGCTCCCTTCATGGACTGAACCATTATACTCCAACAGCAGTGTGAAATAGAATAAGAATAGGAACTTAGATAAAAGGAATAAATTGTCCCCGAGTTCTACATTAATTCAGAATCAAGTTAGCAGCTATGGGGGTGGGGGAATGCAGTGCCTCATTATGATTCCATAAAACAAGAAAAGGCCACATGCAGGATGGTAACAATCTCAAACCCTGAGAAAGAGGACTAGACTGCTGGCCCTTGGCCAAGCTGCTCATGACCCCGAGGGCACCCTTTGCATAACAGCCCCTTTGCAAATAGAAGTTATGGGCCATATTATTCCCCAAGGTGCCCTTTGTGGAATTAAAGAAAAAAAGTCTGGTTGTCTAGTTGACTCATCCTCCGTTTATTTCCAATAGTCTTCACAAACACACCACTCTGAAGCTTAACAATTCAGTGTGAGTTAGCACAGTGCCCCCATGGATGTGGCTTGCACTGCCCTGGATGCTCATGGAGACACCGTACCTGCAAGGCTCTACTGAGCTGTGTTTTGAGGGATATGAAAACAAGGCTTTATGTTTGTTTTGAATGCTGACTACCATTTCTGCTTTATATTTTTCCTGTTGGATGCTCTTTATGGCTATCGTTTCCCTCCAGTTATTTTATTTACAACTCACAGAAAGATGCCGGGGGGGGGGGGGCCCGCAGTGGGTGTATGGCAGAGAACTTAATTCCTGCTTTACCAAGGACTCTGCTGCCAAGAAAATGTAGTTGTCCCTGGGCCATGGTGAGAAAAGGTTTATGTGCCCTGATGTAATTGTAACCTCCTTGCACTCACTATACACAAGTGCTTTCTACTTTCTTTGTTTAATATTGAGAGATCTTAGGTGCACAACTAGCCCAAACAAAAAAGGGACCATGGGAATTCAGAGATAGAGATACCTTGAAACTGGCCAACAGGAAGAGTCTGTCTATATTTGTCTGTGCACGTCTCTGGCTTTATTTTTATTTTCCTTTTTAGTCACTAAGTTTCCCAGGCTAGACTCAAAGTGACTTTGTAACCCAAGCAGGCTTTGAACTTGTAGTGTTTCTGTCTCAGCTTCCTGAGTACTCAGGACTACAGGCTTGTGCTTTTTGGTCTGGCAGAAGTGTCTTCCAGGAGACGGTTTTGATGGCTCATTTGAGTCTCTTAGAATGTGTGGAAGAAAAGGAATCACTTTCCTTCATCAGTGCTCAGAGAGTTTGTAGACTGCATGAATCCATCAGGAGCTGTGGTTGATCATAACTACAGCATGTTTGGATAACACGACTCATCCTTTCAAAGATACACTATTTATTGACTATCTCTCTATCTACCATTCTGCACCATAGGGTGAAAGGCTTAGGAAACACAGTGATGCTTCCAACTTATACAGATGTGTAACTGCACATATATGTTTATGGTCATACATGACTCATTTTCCTTGCAGAACCAATGATTTTGATTTGGGTGCCTGTCGCTGTATCTTGTTGGTTCCCTGGGTGTTGCCATCATAAAGTACTATAAACTTGTTCTCTCACAGTTTTGAAATCTAAAAGCTTAACATCAAGACACAGCAGGTTTTGTCCTCTCTGGAGGCAGAGAGTGAGAGGGGGGGCAGGCAGGAAGGAGGGAGGGAAGGAGGGAGGGATAGAGAGAAGGAATGAAAGGCAGAGGCTGAGAGAGAGGGGGCAGTGTTGCAGAATATTTGTTTAAGTATGCAAAGATGTGTTGTATTTGTTTAGCTATGTAAAGATGTGTTGTATTTTTTATGTTGTAGAACATTTGTGTAGCTATGCAAAGATATGTTCCATTTGTTTACTTGTATAAAGATGTGTTGCTGTTTTACCTTGCCTGCCTAAGGCACCTGATTGGTCTAATAAAAAGCCAAACAGCCAATATGAGGAAGGAGGTATAGGCAGGACTTCCAGGCAGGAAGAGTAAGTAGGAGGAGGGATTAGGCTCTGGAAAAAAGAAAAGGAGACACCAGAGAGATGCCAGAAGTCAGCCAACCAGACACAGAGGAAGCAGGAAAATAGGACTTACGTAATGAAATAAAAGTAAAATAGAAACAACTTAAGTTAAAAGAGCTAGTGGAACAAGTCTAAGCCAAGACCAAGCATTCATAATTAATAATAAATCTATATGTCTTTATTTGGGAGCTGGTTGATGGCCCAAAGAAATCCCAACTACACGGCAGAAAGAGAGAGATCTTTAATTAGTAAACACTATGGAAGAGGTACTGATCTCATAGATGGTGGCATTCAATCTGAAAGAAAGAAGCATCTTGTTGACTAAACAAAGTTGGAGGGAATGAGAGCTCCACCATGAGTGTTCTGCATATAAGTAGCATAAGTGGAAAGATCTTGGTCTGGATTCATCTCTCGGGTATAAAGTGCCTAAGTCTCTTGAAAAGTGATGGGACTGCAAGTCTGCATATTATCTATTACACAGAGACTCTGGGCTGTTCTTGTATCAAGTATGCAGACTTAACGTTTCTTAAGAAGTCTTGGAACATTTGTTGGTTAACATTGGTCAAGTCGATGCATTTCAGACAGTGTGTTCCCTCCAGCTATGAAACTTCCAAATAGGCACTTCACACTGGATAACCGAGATTCCATGGAAGTGGATTGTGATAGTGGGGAGTGCAGATGGCTAGAGCGTGCTTGGGTGCATGCAAGGACAGAGATGCAGACAGTAGAAGTCAGATTGGGAACACTTCACATTCACCTGTAGCTTCTGCTAATGCTTTCCTTAACCAAAAATGGAAAATATAAACCCAGCAAGATCACCTCCAGTGGTTCCCACGCTTAAACCAACAGATATTTAAAACATACATTTTTTATTTTTAAAAGTTAAATGTAATCTCATTGTTTCTCCCTCCCTTTCCTCCATTCAGTCCCCTCCATGTGTCCAACTCACTCCCTCCTCTAACTCGTGCCTTTTTTCTTTAACTGTTACATAGGAGTATATGTGAATAAATGTGTACATATGACATGCTTAGTTCTTTTAGTGTTTCTCACATGTAGGTGATCTCATGACTGAGTGATTGGAATTTGATAACATGATTTTTTTGTTCATTGATTGCCTACAATGAGGCAGAAAAGGAAACTTAATCATTTAAATTAAAATAATGACTTCAATTATTTAAAGATTAAAACACTGTAGAAGTTTCTGGGTCAAATAATAACTACTTATAATAAGCAAAAATTTAATGCTTTTTAAAAGAGCTGGTTCCTGGAAGACTTATCAGTAATTTAGCTCATTACTTTTAAACTTTAACTAACTCAAAGCATCTGAAGATCTGAAGCATCCTCACCGAGGACACATGGGGAATTGGCTATTTTCATGTCAACTTGACACGAGCTAGAGTAATTTTTCAAGAAGGAACAACAATTGATAAAATGCCCCCATCAGATTGCCCTGTAGGAAGCCTGTGCTACATTTTCTTCATTGATGTTTGATGGGGGAGGGCCCAGATCATTGTGGGTGGTATCACCCTGGGCACTGGTGGTTCTGGGTGCTATAAGAAGGTAGTTTGAGCAGTCTATGGGGAGCAAACCAGTAAGCAGCTCTCCTCCATGACCTCTGCATCAGTTTCCACCTACAGGTTCCTGCCCTGTGCTTTTGCCTGAGAGAAGACGGTGATGAGCTAATAAGCTACAGGGTGAAATAAATCTTCCTTTCTCAGCTGCTTTTGGTCGTGGTGTTTTATCACAGCAACAGAAAAACTGACTATGACAAGGAAAGCTCATTTTGGGCAAGCGCTCTGTGCAAACCACTTAGCAGCCATGATAACTCACCAGACATCTCCTGTCCCTTCTTTAAGGCATGTCTAAGGTGCCTAATGGGATCTGACACATTTTCACTATGTATGAAACATCAAAATGGCACATCCTGATGTTTGCCTTGAATAAGGACACTTTAATACCTTATGCTTTTCCTTGTCATCTTGAATGGACATCAGGATGGAACAGGTCACGACTATACCCATATTCCCTATTATAGTTTAAAATGTGTAGATCCGTTGTTTAAAGTGTGCTGTGATGTGAAAGACTACAAGAAGAGATGAACAATACATTGTGCTGGGGACAATGGGAGTGGCTCAGTGGGAAAAGTGCTCGCTTTTAAGCTGGCTGACTTGTGGGAACCTGGCTTTGTGGGGCTACAGTCGGAACCAGCCGACTTGCCTCTGGTTCACATCTGAGAGGGGCAGTGTGGACTGAGAAAGGCTAGGTAAAGGCGTTAAGAGAAAGACACACAGGATAGAGTCATGAGGGCAATTCAGTTAATACTAAACAGCTGAGTTTATTCTTCATCATTCTTAAATACCTTAACCAAAAATGGGAACAAGACATCATATATATGGAACAAGCAGACTTTCTTCCTCAATTCTCCAAGAATTCAGTAACCACACCTTAGATTCAATTTCTTGTTATCTGGCCTTGAAGGTCAGGAGTAACCATACCTCATATGAAGTCTGTTGTTATTTAGATAAGACATCCAAGGCCAAGATCAAACATCCTACTGTAGCCATGCCTTAGATCTTAGGTCTTATGACTTACTAAGGACAGTTTTGAACTCTCTGACCTTGAGCCAAGATAAAGCAGAGCAATCTTTATGGACCTCGACAGTGATTGGACTCTCATAACTCATATCATGGAAAGAGAGAATTGACTCTTCTTTCTTCCAGTAGATATTCCCCACAATATCCATGCCATGTGTGCTCCTTCCCCCTCATTAAATAAACAAGGAAAACTTAAAAACCTACTTCCTAATCTCCACTTTGCCAATTTTTACAAATCAGCAGAACTTCATACATATTTATTCCTCACTTACTATGTGACAGGCCTTGCAACAGGAGCAAAGCGAATTGAGATATGGGTTTTATCAAAGTAAGCACTCGGGGTGTGTAAAATAACTTCAATGTGAGGTTTGTAGAGACTTGTGCCACAAAT